TGAGAGATGATGATTCTCCAGAGCCTCTAAGTTCTGAATTAGAGTATGCTAATTTTAGAAGGTTAAACTACTCTTGCTAAGTAAACACCTGTATCCTTTGGATCAACATACCTGGAAAGCATTTCTAAGCATTAAGACTGTTAAGAAGAAACCTTTTGAGAAATAAAGACAACTTGAGGGCTCAGCTTGAATATTAATGGAAACAACAAGTTGGGCCACTTTTCACCAAGGCTATGAAATTAGTATTGGCATAAACATGGACTTCAGGTAGAATGCTTTGTAAAGCAGTAGATATATTTTGGAAAAAATTTTGTATGCACTTTTGTTATTTGAATGCTCAGGCTTAAAGCTCAATACAATGGAAAAGATCTTCATTATATCCAGGATATAATTGATATCTGTGTGTAAATATCAAGCTCACCAGAATATATGATATTATTTCATCAAAATCTGATTAAATCTTTAGATGCCAGAAGCATGTATGTAATATCAAATAGCAGTAGAATTCAGTATTAAGGAGACCCTAAAGTACAGCTGAAATGATCAATTTTGTTTATTATGTGGTACAACACCCATGATTCGATAATTATCAAATGAGAAAATAAAACATTGGTAAGTTTTCCAGTGATGAAATGCAAGGTGATTTACAATGTACTAGATTTAAAAACAAGTCTAAAGGTCTAAAGAGATCAGTAGTTCTAATTTTATTTAATATTCTTATGCACTGTGGTCTTGTCACAAATAAATTATTCAGTCTTCTGATTAAAGTTGTTCAAGCTTTAAAAAAATTTTGTATTTTTATTTTAAGACAGGGTCTCCCTATAGCCCTAGCTGGCCTGAAACTCACTATGTAGACCAGGCTGACCTCGATTTCAAGGAGATTTGCCTGTATCTGCCTCCCCAGTGTTGGGAAGAAAGGTGTGTACCACCATGGCCACGGTTTATTCAAGCTTTGGGTCTGATCAACCTAAAGTAGTGATATAGTAGAGCTACAGACCACTAGATACTAGTGGAAAACAGACTATTTGTTAAAGCCATCAGAGATAGTTGGTTCATTTTGAGCAAAGAGGAGGTACAGATACTAGGAACAGTTTCCTCAGACGATTCTTATAATAAAATGAAAGAAAAGATTGGGTTCTTGCTTATGGAAGCATATACCATGCCACAAAGAAGGTAAAGAAACAGATCCTGTGATGGCTAATCTTCATGGTCAACTTGAGCGCATTTAGATTCACCATAGAGTTGGGTGTGGTGGCAAATACCTTTAATCCCAGCACAAGGGAGGCAGAAGCAGGTGGATCTCTGTGCGATGGAGTCCAGCGTGGTGAGTTTTAGGCCAGCTGGGGCTACAGGGAGACCCTGTCTCAAAAAAAAAAAAAAAAAAAAAAAAAAAAGAATCACTATAGAAACACACCTCTGAGGAGTGTCTGTGAGAGTGTTTCTAGAAAGGTTTAACTGAGAAAGGAAGTCCTATCCTGAAAGAGGATAGAACCATTCTGTGGGTTGGATGGAGTCCTGGACTGAATAAAAAGAGGAAAGTGAGCTGAGCACCAGCACTCATCTTCCTCTGCTTCCTGAATGGGATGCAATGTGACCAGCTGCCTCATGTTCCTGCTGCTCTGCCTTCCTTGCCATTATAAGCTACACCCTCAAACTGTGAGGCACAGTAAGCTCCTCCTTCTTTTAAGTTGCCTTTGTTGGGTGTTTCATCACTAAAAATGAGAAAAGAAACCACTATTGTCCCTAGGTGGCAAAGGCTAGGTTGGTTAGCTGTTACCAGCACTGTCTGAAATTCCAGTAAAATAAATGTTACTAGAAATGGCCATTAGGATGAAGATGAGAGAAATTCTTTAGTAAAATAGATTATTAGCACACAGTTCACTGCAAGATGTATAGAACTGAAGTTGGTCAACAGTTACTTCTGTAACCAAGGATCTTAAGAAGGTTATTTCCTCCATCACTGCCAGCTCTTTCTAAGTTTTCTTTCAGAATTTCAAGAAACCAATAGCTCCAAGTACTAGTAGTCATAACATGTTTCTATAACAAGAACAATGTATTCGGAAATTATCTATCTAGTTACATACTAAAGTAGATCACATAACTTCTTAAAGGGAAGATTAAATTTGGGAATGGGGGCAAAGGAAGTTTTTTGACTGTTGTCCATTTCCATTTGTTCTCAGGCACATCTATGTTGCTCTTGCTCTAACCTCTCAGATCCTGCTGTGTGCGAGCGCCACCCATACTCTGTCTTGGCATCCGAAGAGACGTTCTCAAAGGAGTATGTCTCTGCTCATCCAGGTAAGCAAGATCCTCCAAATGGGCGGAGCTGGTGGCTGACAAGATAGAAAAACTGAGTTAGTACATGCAAATTTAGAAAACTTCTTTAATCTAGTCTATATCTTCCCAAACTTTTGAATCAAGACTTACTCCAGCAGAAACACACACACACACACACACACGCACGCACGCACACGCACGCACGCATATAATTCAATTATTTTATACCTTAAAAAACCAAGAATTTAAAAAAAACAACAAAAACCCCAAACTTAAACCTTCATTCCATTTGGTGCTTTAAGACAGGACACCATAGATGTTACTTGTCAGAGGTTCTATGATATTATCAGAAGAATGTAATATTTCCTATTCAAATAGATAAACAGAAACAAACTAAACCAGTCTAAAAATTTTAATTCATAAAGCTATAGATAATGGTAAAGATTATTTGATATTTAAAATGTAAAAAATATTTCCAGTCCAATGTAAAATGCTATTTTGCTTCTAAAGTCTGAATAATGAAAACTACAATAAAAGAAACAAAAGGGACATTTCTTTATGCTGTTGAAGCAATGAGCAGATCACTACTAAAAGTTAACAATGAAATGAAACTCATTTTACATGAATGTTTCAAATTGTAAGAAATACTAGACTCTTACATGAAAACATTTACCAACTTATCACTAATAATTGACATAAATATGGTAAAAGGGAACAAAGCCCAAAGAAAAAAACCTCAAATGCTCTGCCACAAAATCCCAGAGAATTTCTGTATGTGAGAAATTCTATCAGATGCTGAGATTTACAGATGACATGGCAGTTTGCCCTGAAGACCTCAGAAGCCACTTTTGCCACCAAAGACATATACTAGCTTATCTAACATGAGACCAGGAATGAACAGAAGAGGAAGCAAAAGAAGAGAAACAGTCCAGAATTCTCTTGGCTTAAGAAAACTACCTTCATGACAAAGTAAAGTCTTATCACAGATAAATTGTTTATGGTGACCGAACTTAGACAATGATATTTATTAATTTGTTCATTCATTTATTCACTCAGTAAATACAACAACACTGGCATGAAATTGACTGTCATCACTGCCTCCTAATACTTTTACCATGGTTTTTAATACTCTATAGGAAAAAGAAAGACGAGAAAGCCAACATTTTGCTGATGAATGTAACAGGCGTTCAAGAGAATATTTACTTGTTAGAATAATGAACAGAGTGGACCCTAAACTTGCTCCATTCAGCACCTGCCTACTGCTCAACTCTGTTTTCTCACTTAAGTAGATGAAGAGCTTATGCTTGACCATGTTCAATGGCAGAACACATGATCTCCTGAGATACCCGAGACACCAAATTTCACATTTCATCTGTGCACAGCTCTGTTTTTAGTAATATGGCTATATTTCTCTATCTTCTACTTACCTTTTTTCTTGATGGTATAAATACTTCTGTTTATATAAAAAGAAGAGTAATATTAAAAAATTACATAATAAGGTAAAAATAGGGTAATGAATGTTTATACAGTAAATACTCAAAATGTGCCAGGCAGTGTACAACATGTACTTCTTGAATATCTTTTATTTCAAAGAGAAACAAGAAAATTAAAAAAAATAGAACATTGAAGAAATTCATAGCCTTCTTGCCTGGAGAGATGCTTGGAAAATTTCCTTATCAAAAATTCTCACAGTTCATTTTCTGCCTTCCCAATACTTGGTGAATAAAGTATCATTTCCCTTCCCTTCCTGGCCATTCTAAGAACAAACATCCTCTTAATTTTACTACATGTTAGATTAGTCATTATATGAATCTCTTTTTCATTAGGATGTTCTAGTTTTCCTGAAGGCATGGGAGTCTAATCTATGCGCTTTCCACAACTGTTCTTTGGATGATCATTAATTCCCAGAAGAGCCCCACAAATAGGCTCAATGAGATGTCAGCTGAAACAATGAAAGTCTAGTACATTTATAGAATATCTCCAAAATTATTCAACTAAACAACTTTAAGATTACAATAAGATTTTTAAACCCATGTTCTCAACATTCAAGACATAATGAGAGCACAGTTCATGTGCTCACCATGGCACACTGTTGATTGAAACACTACTGTATGACACATGACTAGCTAAGATCTGATTACTGAGAACTTAAATTCTTTTTTACATTTGTTTGTATGTGGAGAGAAGGAGGTGCACAACATTCATTTACTTTATGTGAGTGTGTGTGTATAAGCACACGTCACGGCTCATGTGTGGAGGTTAGCGGACCACTTGTTGGAGTTGGTCTCTCCTACCAAGTAGATTCTAGGGACTGAACTCAGGTTTTCAGAATTGGCAGCAAGGATCTTCACTGCTGAATCGTCTCACTAGCCCCTGAAATAGCTTTTATAAAACAACCCTGAAACCCAATAGTCCTATTTGACACTTGGACCAGTTATCATAAAGAATGTCTATCTTACATTTCTAGACCTTTGTTTTATTTATTCACTTAGTTATAATACTGAATTATCGTGATTTTTTCTTAAATAACAAAGATAATCTAAGGTATAGTTTGAAAATCCTGTGGGGTACACAGAGTTTTACATTCTGTAATGGTCTCTGTGCTCAGTGATGAGCAGAGCTGACTATATGCTTGACCATACATACGGTTCATATTTTCTATCTTACTTAGTTGGGTCTACTAGAAACTTAAATAAATAATCAAATCAGAGTTTTTCTAAGGAAGTAACCTTTGAAAGTCAATCTACATGCCAGAGGGAGGAAGAGATGAATAAAAGATAATCTATTTTTGATTTATTTATATTTTATGTGTATGAATGTTATGCCTATATTGTGCAATGTCCGAGGAAGCCAGAAGAGGGCACTGGATACTCTGGAACTGGAGTTACAGATAGTTGTTAGCCACAATGTAGATGCTGGGATTTGAACCTGGGTTCTCTGCAAGAGCAGTCAGGGCTTGTAACTGCTGAGCCATCTTTCCAGCCCCATAAGAGATAATTTGATTTCTGCATTCTGAACTAGAATAATCCAGAAGAGCTATCTAAACTCCAGTTCCAGGGGATCTGTTGCCTTCTTCTGAACTCTGTGGGCAATGACATGAGTGCACTTACATATATGCAGGCAAGATACTCAAACACATAACATAAAAGTAATATTTAAAACAAAACATTAGGAATAAAGAATCCAGAACCTTTCTCTATGCCATTCTAATCTGGTCCTGTAGTCTGTGATTTAGTTCTTTCCTATATTTAGTCCAATGCTTCCTACTTTAATCAGTCTATTTTCTTCATCAATGTGTGTGGCAACAACAACAAAAACAACAACAGACTAGTAAGAATTCGTATTTCAGATCCTTCAAGATTTGCAACACCTAAACAGATAAATAGGTAAATAACCTGACTAGATGTGGTTTCGCCTGAGAGCAAAGGAAAAGAAATATTAATAGGGTATTAGGAAAAGAAAGCTAAACAAAATTATCAACCTCTTGATATTTTAGCTTCATAATTAGCAACAGAAATGAAGACTGCAGTAGCTCAGGATATTTTCTTTCTGGCTTTAATATATATGTATACACACACACACACACACACACACAGAGGCACACACACATTTTTTTCCCCTCCTTTCCCTTATTTTTTTGAAAGTTCTGTTTGAAGTTAATTTTACAATTTAATTTTCAGAAAATAGACTATCCAGATAGAACTACACTGAAGTTTGAGGAATACAGTCAGAAATGGCCAGTGTTACAACATCCAAACACAAAGTGATTGCTGGAACTAGCCTCATCTGGGGCAGGTAAGTATGTATTCATTTACATGCAAGATACTTGCATCCTCTACAGTTACAGAGTTTTGTTCATGTATGGAGCTTGGAAAGGTGCACATTTGTTAATTGTGAAGGTGTTTGCTCCATTTTAAATGCACTCTTGTAGGCTGGGCATGGTGGCGCACTCCTTTAATCCCAGCGCTCGGGAGGCAGAGGCAGGCGGATCTCTGTGAGTTCAAGTCCAGCCTGGTCTACATAGTGAGTTCCAGGCCAGCTGGAGCTACAGGGAGACCCTGTCTCAAAAAGACCAAAAAAGAAAAAAAGTACTCTTGTATACTATTTTGTGATGCTGCGGCTGGAGCTGGGACTCATAATCTACTCATAATCTGCTTTTTCAACTGGCTTTCTGCTAGGTTCTGTCAGTGGGGCCATTAGCAGAAAATTGCTGGGGAGGAAGGATTTGTGCTTTCCTGCTTGTTTCCTGATTCTATCAGTTGCCTTAGTGTTGTTCAGCCTAGCACTGATGGGTCATTCTAGTAGCCGTAGTTGAGTGTAATTTGCAGTTTAGACAGGATGGGACTAGCCTCAATGAACCTACTGAGAAATAGTAGCATCTAATGGCCAGTAGCTTGGCCTAGAGGTCTGAGACAGGTTTCCACAGATTTCCACAGCTGATCTGTTCTTGGATTCAGCCAAACGTATGGGCATCAGCTGAGCATGGTTCCTTCATACTGACAGATCTGAGTTTCAACTTTGTGGGGCCTTCCTCACATCCATGCAGTTTAAGAATCCTACTCTTTTCTTGCTCCTGTAGGTTCAGAGGTGGTAACTACTACATGTAGTTGCTAAATCCATAATACTACAACATTCTTTTTTTTTTTAAACTTTTTTCAGTTCTTTAAAATCTAGCTAAATAATTTTTTTTCCTATTTGTGACAAGGCCTTACCACGTGGTTTAGGCTAGCTTTGAACTCTTGATCCTTCCTCAATCCCTAAAGTATTGAGATTACAGACATGTACCATAGCAGCTGGTTACAGTTCTTTTTAAAATATTATTTATTATTTTTATTTTATGGGTATGAGTGCAATGCCTGCATGTATGTAAGTGTACCTGTGTCAAGCAATGTCCATGGAGGTCAAAAGAGGGCATCGGGTTCTCTGGATCTGGAGTTACAGATGGTTGTTACCTACCATGTGGGTGCTGGGAACCAAACCTGGGTCCTTTGTAAGAGCAGCCAGTGCTCCTAACTGCTGAGTCATCCAACTCCTATAATTCTTTATACTATCAAAT